ATTATTGTCCATTGATTATTGCACATTGTTATTGACAAGATTGTTATTATTATTGTTGATGCCGAGATGCTGGGAGCAGTGCTGGTTGTTATACAGATTGATATTGAGTAAGTGCAATATTTCCTTCTGAATAGTAAGAGTATTGTAGTACCTCTATATATTTATTTAGTATTTGAGTAAATGCAATTGCTTTCTACTGCTGTGACTATAAATATGTGATTCCAGTACACCTGTAATGAGCAGGTAAAGTCTAGTGATAACAACAACAAACAACAACAAGATGTTGTAAAACCTCATTTCGCCCAATGATATTCCACCATCCATTAAAAAAAACAACACAAAAACAAACTTTGCTTCACAATTTGTATTTATTTGGCAATGAACAACTTAGAACAAAGACAAACCAGTTGAGAGCTTAAGGTAGATGTCGTTCACCTGAACTGGCTTTCACTCCAGTAGACCCTGAAAGAAAAATATAGATATTAAAATAAGCTGAAAAGTTACAATCACACAAACAGCAGCAAGCTCTTCAGAAGCAGTGCCAAAACCCTCATTTAGAAGCTCATGTTTAATCTTCCCCAGACATATGAAAGGGTCAGATGGGTAGTGATTGGTATAATCATTGGGATGGCTATTCACTTTATTACACAAATGTAAACTGCAATACATACATGCACATCCAGGTCCACTCTGCTACTTTCACTGGAACCTTTTCTTCAGCTGACCTGTCAAAACAAAACAGATTTGGATGTTAACCATGAAAGGTGTAGGTGGTGATAGGATCTGTGTATGTAAAATTAATAAAGAAAACCAAGCGGTAGGATTATATGATGTTAGCCGAATTGAAGAGCTGCCGCTTAAACGTAAGAAAATGTTTGACTTGTGTTCTGTTGACAAATAAATATGGCTATATAAGAGAGTTTATATTAAAACACGTATTTTTTAAATAGGAGTTTGGCGTGACGGATATGTCACCGGAACACGCTGGCTTTTCTTGACCACGTGCTCTGGCGTTGGTGGGTTTACGGCATGCAGTGGACTAACTGCGCTACTATAACACATTATCACCAAAAAACAAGAAAAATAACCTACTTAATTTACATTTTACTTACCTAATTACCGGACAGGTCGGTGGCACGATTCAGCTAACGTTACTGTACAAAACCTGGTTTAAAATCATGCTCAAAAGAGAAGAAAGAGCCAGTTAGTTACCTAAACCGACTAGATTTATCTAAAATGCACAAAAGTTGCATTTTTTTAATACTTAATATAACTAAAAAATAAGACTGTTCGTGTCTCCAAGAATAAGACTTTCTTGAACACACCCAGCGTGCCACTAACCCACCTCCTCCTCCTCCTCCTCCTCTTCCTCCTCCTTAGTCTTCGTCTTCCTCTGAATTATCGGCAGTGCTGCCTTTGTGTGCGTTACCACCACCTACTGTATAGGATGTACTACTGGTACTACCCACTAACTTGCAAATACTTTACTGTAATTTATTATTATATTATGTAATATATTATCATTTCTATGTGTCACACTACTAACTTGCAGATTCCTGTTCAGCTCTTCACTCATTTATTTAAATATCTGACTGTATTGTATCCCACATATTGTCTCGATCTTTATTTATATTTTCTGTGTTTAATTGTTATGCACTAACTCACCATGGTAAATTCCTTGTATGTGAAAACCTACTTGGCAACAAACCTCATTCTGAATATAGTAGTTTGATCAGCTGTTTTTTCAAAGCTTTTTAAGTCAAAATCCTCTCAGATTGGAGTCTGTGGTCTAATGTGCATCTACTGTGGAAGTCTTTAACCTGAACAAGTAGAGGAACCCCTTGTATAACTGAATTGCATTCCCAATTTTGCAGTTCCACAGTCCACAGATTGAACAATGAACCAAACTGAAGAGTTTTGGCACACGATTTCACTTCTGTGATAACAAATACACGTAGAAGTCAACCACATAACTCTTTTTTAAAGGATTATGTCATATAGGTCATATAATAACAGAATAAAGTGGAAAGTGACTGTAATGAAAGTACTTTTGTTATTAGAGATATAATAAAGTATGAACCTTTGTTTTAAAATACAAGAAATGATAATTCATTGATTTATAACTGAACTAGGGCTGTAACTGTCACCACGTACTTTTACTTAGTACGTCTACTGATAACAGATGGTATGGTCTGAAATCACAAACAGTATCACAAAAACAAAACCGAGACATCATAAAACACAAGTTGACGGCTAGAAGATGTGTTTTTAGTGGAGGTGGAACTGGCCAAGGATTCAGGAGGCAGTCGGGAAAAGTAATAAAAATGTCAAAAGGTCATCATTTTAAGAAGGTGCTTTCCTTCGCTGTAACAGTATATTTTACAGGTATGTGGTAAACAACTGCATGATCTACAAAAGGTTACTAACACATCTTCAGAATCAGTACTGAAGATAAATGTCAATTTTACCCAAGCCCACATCAGTAAAAGTGATGAAAAATGCTTCAGCAAACAGTAAATCTGTCACTTTTTCTGTCTTGAGCTCTTTGCCGTGCTAATGTGGAGCTGTGTGCCGTGTATGCATCAAAGCCTGTTAATAAAAGAGTATACGCTCTCTCTTTAGAGTCGTGTGGTTACAGCTCAAACCACAAGGAGTTGACTCTGCACTTTACTGGATCAGATAACAACAGAATAAAGTGGAGAGAGACAGCGAGGTCATGGGAAATGCTGTAGAGATCATGATCTTAATTCAACTCTAAGAATAAGAGTGTTTCTCTCACTCTTCAGCCATGTCAGCAGTGTCACAGAAGACGAGACATGGTCCCTGGTGGATGAATCCTACTGACTTTGGTGATCCCTTGACTTTTCAAAGCATCATCATCAGCTCAAAAGCTTAATTTGCCCAATAAACCTTTTTCACAGCAGCAATTTTGACATTAAATAAAACGTTTCTGCTACACTAAATGGAACAGAGCCTTAATCAGGGTTCCCACTCTTTTTAGGAAATTGTTTTCCAGCACCTTTCAAGGACCTTTTCCAGGACTAAGCACTTGCTTATGGGAAACTACATGTTAGCTCGATTTTGTGGCGTGCAGCCACTTTGACATGAAATAGTAGGGTAAAACACAGATATAGAAGATACTAACTAAGGCTCTGGTAACAGCTGTGTTTACCCTACTATTTACTACTATTCCTCTGACTGTAACATTAATTTAGCCAGAGAACTAAAATACAATTAATTTTCGAGGACAAATATTCAAATATTTTCAGGATATTTGGTCATTTTAATCAATTTCCAGGACTCTTGTCAAAACACACCATATAATGGGGATTAGAATACCTTTAACAACCTTTTAAACTGAAGTATATTCTACAGACTAGTATTAAATCAGGGAGTTTTGGCCACCTGGGGGCAGCAGACACAAGCTGTGAAAAACAACATATTCACTCCAATCCAATATTCACTCTTTCAGCTGTTTTCCTCTCTAGCAACTCCTGAGGGAAATATCTCTTTAGCTGCTAAATGCTCCACTATGTTCACCTACTGTGGTTCATAATGAGGCCATAAAGAGTGAACTTACGGCCAAACAGCTAAACAATGAGCTGAAACTCACTTTAAAGCACCTTTCACACTGTTTGCACATTGTCACCATTTAAGTGGTGAAATAATAATCACATTTAATTACATTAAAGGCATAGACACATTTTGTGCTTAATAAAAAAAACATTATATAGTTTAATTACTGTTTAAAAGTCGGGATGGACGGGCACAAACATTTCATTCAGTAACAGCCACAATGAATGAATTAAAAGCAGCCAACAGTTAACGCTACAGCACACACTCACCTGCTTGTTGAATGTCTTTCTGAAGGTTTATATATTTTGACCTATTATCAAGAATGTGTAAAATAAATCTATTCGTGTAAAAGAATTAGATTGGTGAAAGTTATAAAATGACAAAAAATGGGTCTTAATTAGATAATTGTGCCGTTTCTGAACATATATTTTGCATATTTAAACTGTAATATTGAGGGTTAGCATTCATTATGTTTGTCTCAGGCACAGACAGTAAACCAGCTTTATAGAAAGAAAACTCATGTTCTGTTCAGAGTGCACTTTTACGTGTTGCGTACTTTTTCCGGACATGTTTAATCTGAGCGAATATCAGTCGCACAGGTTCCTGGTAGGATGCATGTGAGCAAGCAAAAGTGGGTTTTGGTACATTAACTTCAGCGATACTTACTGAGTCAAACACAGATTGATATTGTGTACAGAAACAAACAAGTGGATCCTACTCAGATTTAACTGTCCGATATTTAACACACCTGCTGCTGTGTGACCTACATTAAAGGGACCCTGTGGAGCTTTTTTTGTAAACAGAGTTATGGTATGTTTGCATTCATACTTTCTATAAATCACATTATAAAACAATTGCATTTTAGATTTTTGGAAGAATTTGAAACGTACATTGTTTACATTGTTATTTCCTTGTTTCGTTAGCACAAACTGTTGATCAGAGGACGACGGCTTTGGATCGCGTCACTCACGTGCAACAAATCCCAACCCGAACCCATACTGCACACTGATTTTAAGGTTTTTAAGGCCTTAATATACTCGCAAACGGACACCGTGGACGTGTAGTGGTTCTGTTTACTTTCTGGAGTCCGCCATAGACTGTATAATTAAAAACAAACATAGTCTCTGCGACGTCACACATACCCTAACCCTGAATATGGGCAAAGAGGTGGAGCTAAATAAAGCCTGGCTGCTAAAAAACCAGCCGCCTATGACAGCACCCACCTGTCACTCAAAGTGGCCACAGCCTTAATTATTCATAACTTTAAGCCTTAATATAATTTTAACAGGTGAGTTTATATATAAATGCAACCCCTTACAGTTTAGGGAATTTAGCTATAGAGACTAAAACAGTTTTTTGTTCCGGGCTGTAAACATGTTTAATAGTTTTAATATTGGGCCTTATGGAGATTGACTCACATTTGGAGCCGTCCTCAAGTGGTCGCTAGAGGAACTGTAGTTTTTGTTATTTCCTCGTTTGCTCATGAAGGCTGCAGCAGTCCACGTTCAGGAGCTTGTTGTGGTGTAGCAGCCACGTCACAAAAAACTGGAGGAGCTGGAGGAGCTGCTCACAGTTAGAATATAAATAAATAATTGTAACTGGTGGTGAAACAAGTGTTACATTTTGATAAAATTTGTGTCACATATGTATTGATGTATGTTAGTATAAAATGGTTTCTTTTTTTTAAATAATTGCTAAAGTAGTATACAATGAGGATTATAGAGTTAGTATTGTATTAATTGTATGCATTTGGGACCATGAAGTACAAAAACATTGCTCCACTAATAGCCAAAACTCCACAGGGAACCTTTAACGTCGATGAAAGCGGTGCAGGAGGACTCGATAAAAGTCACAACATGCAATTTACAAAGACGAGTTAGAAGTTTAAGTATGTGTTTAGAATATTTATCAACTTACTGACTCTGAAAAGTTGTTTTTCACAGGAGATATTGACGTGTAACAGAAGGAAAAGCACAGATGATACTAATAACATAATGATGGCACTGTTCCATTTAAAGCCCCCAAAAACTTGGTTCTAAATCTTACAAAGGCCCACACTTACTTTCTCAATCAGAGCAAAGGGCTCCGACATGAACACACTATTTTCTGCAGAGGTTGAAACAGTTGTGGTTGTTTAACATAAGAGATTTCTGTGTTTTGTCTGTCTCTCAATACCCAAAACAAATTTTAGATCAAACCACAT